GTGTATGTTTTCCCATCTTGAATGGATTTCTAGCGGTTAATAAATTACTAACGAAAGGAATGAATATAAATTAAGAAATCGTTTCTGTTACCTCCAAGGAGCGAATCAAAGCGTTCTAAATCTGATTGTGAGGCAGAAAATTTACCAAACCTGTTAACGATGTACAGAATGGCGCAAAAAAACGGACAGACAGACACACAAGTGATCCTATAAAGGTTCCCTTTTTCAGTTAGACGTGCGGAACCCTAACCCAAGAACCAATTTAACGTTGTAGTTGAAAAAGAAACATGATCTCCCATACTGCAAATGTAAATTTTTACGCACAATATTGTTTTGTTGTTATGTTCACACCATAGACTTCTTATTCATTTTCCCGTAATCTATAAGTAAAGAACTATTTTCTACATTTTTTTGAAAATTTTAGATTCAGTATTTTCGGAGATAATGGTCAATTTTCATAATAAATAACTTTAAAACTATTTATTTCAAAATTTTAAAATAAATATATATTTAAGACCCTTAAAACAAACCCTTTCATTTGATATGTAATACGGTACAGTTTGCAATTTTTTTTAATTTACTATTGGTAGGTACGGTACCCATTCGTTCAAATTTGGACAGGTTCAACAAGTGTGTTAATGTTTACGAAATTAGTCGTTTAATAAGAGGGATTTCTAGAAAAGGTACATACTTTCATTAATGAGACAGGGGACACATTTAGTTAAAACAAAACTCAAGTTTCTATACCTTAGACAAAAATTTTCAGTCTTTCTCCAGTCTCTCAGGGTCTTTCAGCGTCTCTGAGAGCGTCTCTTAGTTATTACCTAGGTGTTTTTATGGATCTCTCACAGTTTGTGTATGAGAGACTCGAACGATAAAATTGTGAATTGAGAGATTTGAGTCTCTCACGAAGAGACTGAATGAATAAAACTGAAAAATTGAGAGACTCGAGTCTCTCGTAGAAAGACTGGGATCTCTGAAATATGTTGAACTTAAAAAATTTTAA